AAATTATTAGTTCGGAATTCAATTTTTGAATAAGTTTTTTATAGAAAATGTAATCCCATCTGATAACCCTCTAAACAAACATGGCATTGAATGGACTTATCATTCACTCTCCACTCACATTAACTGATAATATTGCTAATAATTGATAACCGGTCATCATTAGTCTATTGACCATGGCCATCACCATGATTTTTTATTTTTTATTTTTTTTGGCAACATAAATAAGCTTAATATTGATTGCTAACATACTCCTACGTTTGACAAAAAGTTAAAATTTCTTTTCAAATACGACAAGTACAATTGAATGGCAACACTGGCATGGCAATTCTGAGGCCCATAACACCCACCACTACAAAAATTTTGGTTTTTTGTGATGGTAAAATACCGTTGTAAATACTCAAAATGTCGCCTCAAAATTTTTTTTGCGACGGCAACTGACTTTTAGTGACGGCAAGTGGGGGGTCACAACAAAGGACGTTGCTAAAATGTTTTAAAAACGGCACAATGCCATCGTCTTTTTTTTTTCGACGGCAAAGTTGCTTTTTTGCGACGGAATTCTGCTGTCGCCATTAATATGTAAAAATATGAGATTTTTTGAGACGACACTGTGTTGCCGTCGCTAAAAGTGTTATTTGCGACGGCAAAAAATGCTGTTGCTAAAGTGTTTTTATTGTGACGGGAAACCTGCCGTCGCTAAAAAATTATTTGAGACAGCACAACATGCCATCGCTAAAAGATTATTTGCGACCGCAAAGAATACCGTCACAAAAGGTTTTTGTTTCAACTTTGCCAATATCTTTTGTGACGGCAATGTGGTGCTGTCCTTAAAAAAAAAAAAATCTGCAACAAAATTATTAAAAATATGAAACTTGTATTAAATGAAAAATAACTGAAAAAGAAACCAATAATTACATAATAATATAAAAATTTCAGTATAAAAATAACAATTTATCCATAATAAAAATATTCTTACATTCATAACAACACATTAGCAAAATTATCCCACTACATAATATTGCATAATACATATACAACGTTTAAATATATAATGTTATTCACAATTCAAAATAACGTAAATTAAAAACAAAAGTTTCCCTCATGATTATTCCGTGGGTAACAAAAACAAAAGTTAATTGCAATCTTCACACGCCTGCATTTCACAAGAAGCAAACTGCTACTCGGGAAATATCTGAAAACAAAAAATGACAATAATTAATGACAATATAATTATGTGTTAATATTTTAATTACAAAAAAACATAAAAAAATTAACTACTATATAATTACAAAGATAATTAAGTAAGTAATTTTGGCTAGACAGAAATTCGGCTCTAACTCCCAAATCGGGAACCCGATTGGGGTTTCGTTTTCTCCTATAAGTCTTTCGTGCCTAGGCGGTCGTGTATGCCAAGTTTCGTGCTAAACCAACGCTGTTTGGTGATTTTGGGGCGTCAACACCTCGAATTTAAATTTCTTAAGGAACTAGTTTCCCTAAACTGAAATCCGGCTCTAACTCCCAAACCGGGAACCTGATTCGAGCCCTGTCTTCTCCCACAAGTCTCTCGTGCCTAGGCGGTCATGTGTGCCAAGTTTCGTGTTAATCCGATCCCGTTTGGCGATTTTGGGGCGTCAACACCTCGAATTCAAGTTTCTTAAGGAACTAGTTTCCCTAGAGTGAAATCCGGCTTTAACTCCCAAACCGAGAACCCGATTGGAGTCCTATCTTCTCTCACAAGTCTCTCGTGCCTAGGCGGTCGTGTGTGCCAAGTTTTGTGCTAAACCGACGCCGTTTGGTGATTTTGGGGCGTCAACACCTTGAATTCAAATTTCTTAATGAACTAGTTTGCCTAGACCGAAATTCGGCTCTAACTCTCAAACCGAGAACCCGATTGGAGTTCCGTCTTCTCCCACAAGTCTTACGTGCCTAGGCGGTCGTGTGTGACAAGTTTCGTGCTAAACTGACGCCGTTTGGTGATTTTTGGGCGTCAACACCTCGAATTCAAGTTTCTTAAGGAACTAGTTTGCCTAGAGTGAAATCCAGCTCTAACTCTAAAACTGGGAACTCGATTGGAGTCCCGTCTTCTCCCATAGGTCCTCGTGTCTAGGCGGTCGTGTGTGTCAAGTTTCATGCTAATTCGACCTTGTTTGGTGATTTTGGGGCGTTAACATCTCGAATTCAAGTTTTTTAATGAACTAGTTTGCCTAGAGTGAAATCCGGCTCTAACTTCCAAATCGGGAACCCGATTGGAGTCCCGTCTTCTCCCACAAGTCTCTCATGCCTAGGCGGTCGTGTGTGACAAGTTTCGTGCTAAACCGACGCCATTTGGTGATTTTGGGGAATCAACACCTCGAATTCAAGTTTCTTAAGGAACTAGTTTGCCTAGAGTAAAATCCGGCTCTAACTCCTAAACTGGGAACCCAATTGGAGTCTTGTCTTTCCCCACAAGTCTCTTGTGCCTGGGTGATCGTGTGTGCCAAGTTTCGTGCTAATCCGACCCCGTTTGGTGATTTTGGGGCGTTAACACCTCGAATTCAAGTTTTTTAATGAACTAGTTTGCCTAGAGTGAAATCCAGCTCTAACTCCCAAACCGGGAACCTGACTCGAGTCCCGTCTTCTCTCACAAGTCTCTCGTGCCTAGACGGTTGTGTGTGACAAGTTTCGTGCTAAACCAACGCCGTTTGGTGATTTTGGAGCGTCCACACCTCGAATTCAAATTTCTTAAGGAACTAGTTTGCCTAGAGTGAAATTCGGCTCTAACTCTCAAACCGGGAACCCAATTGGAGTCCTGTCTTCTCCCACTAGTCTCTCATGCCTAGGCGGTTGTGTGTGCAGAGTTTCATACTAATCTGATGCCGTTTGGAGATTTTGGGGCGTCAGCACATCGAATTCACGTTTCTTAAGGAACTAGTTTGCTTAGAGTGGAATCCGACTCTAACTCCCAAACTGGGAACCCGATTGGAGTTCGTCTTCCCCCACAAGTCTCTCATGCCTAGGTGGTCATGTGTACCAAGTTTCGTGCTAATTCGACCCCGTTTGGTAATTTTGGGGCGTCAACGTCTCGAATTCAAATTTCATAATGAACTAGTTTGCCTAGAGTGAAATCCGGCTCTAACTCCCAAACCGGGAACCCGATTGGAGTCCCGTCTTCTCCCACAAGTCTCTCGTGCCTAGGTGGTCGTGTGTGCCAAGTTTCGTGCTAATCCGACACCGTTTGGAGATTTTGGGGTGTCAACACCTCGAATTCAAATTTCTTAATAAACTAGTTTGCCTAGATCAAAATCCGGCTCTAACTCTCAAATCGGGAACCCAATTGGAGTCCCGTTTTCTCCCACAAGTCTCTCGTGCCTAGGCGGTCATGTGTGCCAAGTTTCGTGCTAATCCGACCCCATTTGGTGATTTTGGGGCGTCAACGCCTCGAATTCAAATTTCTTAATGAACTAGTTTGCCTAGAGTGAAATCCGACTCTAACTCCCAAACCGGGAACCCGATTGGAGTCCCGTCTTCTCCCACAAGTCTCTCGTGCCTAGGCAGTCGTGTGTGCCAAGTTTCGTGCTAAACTGACGCCGTTTGGTGATTTTGGGACATCAACACATCGAATTCAAATTTCTTAATGAACTAGTTTGCCTAGACCAAAATTCGGCTCTAACTCCCAAATCGGGAATTCGATTGGAGTCCCGTTTTCTCCCACAAGTCTCTCTTGCCTAGGTGGTCGTGTGTGCCAAGTTTCGTACCTAACCTTTATCCTTTTGGGCTGTGTACAGTTAATTTATGATTATTCTTAGCTTAGAATGCAAAGATACATTTTATACTTGATCTTCTGGTGGTGGTGTATATGGATTCTCATCTCCTGCAGATTCCCTAAATGCCCGGTGGCCACTCGATGCATCAGGAACCTATGATAGTCAACACATAATGTGTTAATCATATTTGAATTTTATTATACATATGTACAAATATGTTGTGTGAAAATTTAACTATCAAACAATTTAATTTATATCAAACCTGTCTGCTGGGATCCACACTCGCCCCCCTGTGACACAATGGCCATCATCTCAGCTCTCATCTACTATAAATGTGTAGAGAACTCTACTCGCATCTCCTCCTCAGCTCCTTCCTCAACTCATCCCTTAGCTCCGCACAAACCTATTGGGTGATCTGAACAATAGTCGATGGCTGGGGTGTTGATTGTGATGGCCCAGCACTATCTTTATACACCGCTTTCCGAGGCACAGTTCTCCCGTATGTGCGATAATATTCATGTCCGTCATGACCTATCAACTCATGGAAAATGGGATTCCTAGCTTCCAAAGTCTGACAATCCTCAGGTAGCATGGAGAGTTCACGATTAAACTCATCCTGTATTGAATAAGACATACAAGTATATGCCAAATTAAGATGGTTGACACACAAAAAATAAAAAATAAACTTTAAATACAATGTTAGGTGTTTGGAAACTACGACGGTCTGGATAACCTCAGGGTCATCTGCTCTACGTGTCATAAGCCAAACATTCATCTTATCAGTAGACTCCCCTTTATTGGTCATCTAGATATTTTTAGAAATATGAAAATTAGAATCCAAATAATTTGCAAATATACAATGTTTATTTATGTACAAAAATAAAACAATAAAATATAAACCCCATGCCGTATCTGAGTGAAAGTAGTACGCCCTGTAGTATGAGCTATGCCGTGAGCTCGCCGATTTTTAGTGTTTCTAGTTGTAATTTTCTATAACAGGTTCAACAAATGTACGTATATAAATATGATTTGTATGTTTAAATATCACACATATAACTTATTTGTATACCTCAGCATCGGAAGTACACCAATAATCCACAAGTTCTTCCCACTGGTTTGGCACAATGTGCAAAGAAACATCATTCTTCAGATCAGGATAAGAACTTCTAGGCTTGAAATACTTAGTCTTAATCTTATTCTTGTGATCCTTCCATATGCTGTTGCAGGTTTTCATGCAGATTGGCTTATACTCGTCTGGACATATATTCAAATTGTTCTATAAAACACAATTTCAAAGTTTAAATAATAATAACACAATTTTGGAATTTGAATTTTTGGACAAAAATATACTTTTACCTTCACATCCTTCCAGATAGCATCAAGAATATCATCAGGCACAGTGTTTCAGTCAAGAAAAGTAAGAGGAATAATGTTACCATTTCGCAGAATAATGCCAAGTTGAGTAGTTAACTTAGAGACAGTTATCCCCTATTGGGCAGTAATTTTCATCAAATTGTATGTCCAACTTTGTACCAATACCCCACTCCTTAATGCCCTTGGCACGTCCTCTACCACGCCTAGTCGAGGTTGATGAAGAACTAACATGACCTGCGAGATACAATAACAATAAACAATATGCAATGATAATAAACAAATGTAAATTTAAATATTGTCAATACAAATCGAATTGTTAAACCTGAGGTGGGCTGTGAAGAAGTCGAGGGGTCTGGAAAATACAATGAGAATAAACAAGTTATATATAATGAGAATAAATAAATGTATATTTAAATAATTTTCATACAAATCAAAGCAAATTTATATACCTGCGGATGGCTCATAAGATGATGACTCTAGTCGGGATGATAGTTGCTGTGGTGCCACTGATGGTTGTCGATGCAGTGGCACTAATGGCGTCTCTGATGGTGGTCGCTGGGATGCCTCTTCTAATGGTGGTGCCAATAATAGTGGTCGCTGTAATGGCTGGTCAGATAGTGGTGGCACTAATGGCCCCTCCGATGGTGGTCGATGTGATGCCTCCTCTGATGGTGGTGCTACTGATGTCCTGTTATGTACCACATCGGACATCATGCGCAGGGAATGATCAGGCTTCCTCTTCCTTCTCGTAATAATCTGCAAGCAATATAACATTAATTGACATTAGAAACATGAAGAATAGTTTTGAATCAACTATAATATGACATTAATTGAACTAATATGACATTAAGAAACTGATGATTAACTACAACCTTGGCCTTAATTCAATTACTGATGTTTATTAAATATCAGTCTATTTCCACATCAATTGTTTCTCCTTCTGCGGCTTCCCTCACCCAACCAACTTCTTCATCAAGGAGCATTATGTTTTCTTCTAATTGTTGGCTCATATATGGCTCGATTTCTGGATCAGTCGAATTCATATCAAATAAACCTCTTTGAGACATCTTCACCACCACTTGCCAGTCCGGTTGTAACGGGTCTGCAACATACCAAACTTGCTCTGCTTGGGACGCCAAGATGAAAGGTTCATTGGTAATTCGATCATCTCGGTACAACAAATGATTGAAATTGACCAACGTGAAATTGAAGACATCTTCTTTCTTTCCGTGAATGTTGTCAATCCAATCACACTTAAACAACACATGTTTCTTCTCATTGGAATATCGAATCTCAACAATATCTGTCAATTGTTAAAGTTTTCAAAAACGGATATCACGGTTAGTAGAGGCTGATCTTCGGATCGGGCGAGAAGGGGTGCTCATAGCTGACCTTCCCCAATCGTACCCTAGCTCCCGAGCCGAGACAACTTCGGTGATGACGGACATGTGGCCTTCGGCACCGAGTCAGGGTTTCCTAAATTCCCCCATTTTAAAATATTTAGGTGGCGACTCTGTATCTGGCAAAGCAGTCCATGTTTGGCACTACTTTTTCAAAAATCTGTTTCTCAAAACGATTTGCCAGATTTGGACTCTTTGGTTCAGATTAAGAACCGCGACAACAAAATCGAGTCCGAACTGTAGCACGAGGCCCACGCGGGCGCGTCTACACATAACCTACTTTATGAATGGTTAAACAGCGCTTGTATTGAATAAGATATACCGATGAGCTTGTACCCAATAAGTATTATCAAGATAAAAGCTTATGTTTTCACCAACAACATGACCCAGATTATCATCACCACTATAGTTCCTCACGGGTCGATTAGATTTGGTTTCCACATCATTGAGATATTGTGCACAAAAATTCATGCATTCTTCCATAAGATATCCTTTCGCAATTGAAACTTCAAGATGAGCTCTATTACGCACATATTGCTTCAAAGTAAGAAGATACCTCTCAATTGGATACATCCATTGAAACTGAATCGCTCCAGCCAATAAAGTTTCGTCAGCTAGATGTATAGGCAAGTGCTCCATTATATCAAAAAAAGTCGGAGGAAATATTTTCTCTAGATGACAAAGTGTTACGGTGATACGATCTTGAATATATTGCAAATTCGTCACACGATTCACTTTGAAACACAATTGTCTAAAGAAATTGCTCAATTCAATCAAGGGTTCAATTACATCAGAATATGACTATCGTGGCTCTTAAGACCCCCAATACTTCTATCATGTGAGCGCACACGACGTGATATATTGGATGAATACCCGTCGGGAACTCTTACTTCCTTCAACACTTTCAAGAACAAATCTTTCTCATCATTGGCCATTGTGAATTGTGCTGGTGGTAAATAAGCTTTATTCGACCCTCTTAACTGCAAATGTAGGGGTTTTGTAGTATTCATATCTTGTAAATCACGTCGAGTATTAACACCATCCTTCGATTTTCCTACAACCCCTAATATTGTCCACAACATATTGTCACAAACATTCTTCTCTATATGCATCACATCGATGTTGTGTCTTATTAGATTGTGCTCCCAATATGGCAGTTTATAAAAGATACTCTTTTTCTTTCAGCTATAGGTGCGATGTCCAGCTTCACTACTTGTCTCTTATGCCTCTGTTTAAGGTCATCCCTCTTGTATTGGGTTAAAATACCCTCAGATTCTAATTGTAGCAACATCTCAGTTCCAGACAACAATTTTGGTTTGAGTTTGACTTCCCGACTACCATCAAATGATACTTTATCCTTTCTGAATTTATGGCCACTAGGTAAAAATCTGTGATGACCCAAGCATGATTGTTTCCTACTATGCTTCAACCAACACGATGTAGTTTCCTTATTGCAACAAGGACATGCATATTCGCCTTTAGTGCTCCATCCTGACAGGTTTGCATATGCAGGAAAATCACTAATTGTCCACAGTAAAGCTGCATGCATTTGAAACATTTGATTTGTTGATACATCAAATGTGGAGACACCGTCATTCCATAGTTCTTTCAACTCCTCAATCAACGGTTGCGTATACACATCAATCTTGTCACTAGGTCCTTTCGGGCCGTCAATAAGCACATATAAAATTAGAAATGGTTGCTTCATGCACATCCATGGCGGCAAGTTGTATGGAATGAGCACAACATGCCAAGTGCTATGAACTATGTTCATCGTCCTGAATGGGTTAAAACCATCAGATGTTAAGCCAAGCCTTACACTTCAACAATCATTACTAAAGTTAATATTCCGACGGTCAAAATTTTTCCATGCAAGGGAGTCAGCAGGATGCCTAAAGACACCGTTATCAGTTCTTTCCTCTGCGTGCCATCTCATTAACTTGGCTGTCTTGGATGACATAAACAACCTCTGCAACCTTGGCTTTAAAGGAAAATACCTCATTTGTTTTGCAGCTATTTGTTTGCCATCTTTGTTAAGACCATTTGAACTACCATCACCATTTGATTTCTATTTAGAACTGTTGCATATGACACATTTATCAAGATTGGCGTCCTCGTTTCGAAACAACATGCAACTGTTGGGACATGTATCCCACGTCTCATATGTGAAGCCCAAATCTGTTGTGACCTTTTGAGCTTTATAATATGAGTCCAGGAGTTTCACACCCAACGGGAATGCCTTATTCAATAACTCAAGCAACATGTCAACAGACTTGTCTGTCCATTGATTAAGCACCTTCAAATGTAGAAGTCGAACAATAAATGACAAAGATGTGAATTTCTGACAACCCGGATACAATTCACTTTGTGCATCTTGAAGAAGTTTGAAATACTTTGCAGTCTCTGCATTTGGACCGAGCTGGGGTTCAGATGTATGGGGATCAGGCCCCTGTGGTTCATTACCCTCAACACTTGTACCGGCATGTGAATTTCCCATATCCCCTTGTATCATTTCAACCATATCATCCCAAATGTCTAAATTAGCCAATGTTTCATTCTCTCGATTACCATGCAGAGATACGTAAGATTTCCCATGATTAATCCAATGTTTGTACTTTTTAAAAAAATCATTCAAAATCAGATGCTCTCGTACACCCTCTCGTACAAGATGGTATCGATTCTCACACTTCCTACACGGACAACTGATCATCGAACCTTCAACCCTATTAGTGTAGGCAAACGCAAGGAATTTATCAATCCCATTGATGTATTCCCTCGACATCCTATTTGGCAAATCAATCCAACTTTTATCCATCATTTGTACTTCCCTCAAATATCGCTGCTGCACACATCTACAAAAATATCTTATCAAAGTAACTCTAAATATAATACTTACGTATTTATGCACCATGATACCTATCCGTCCAATTTCTCTCAAATAGGTAGGTGGTCTTATCCCAGTTAGTTATTTACCGATTTGATGGGAAAACATAAAAAATGAAATACTTATACAACAACACGTGGGACATAAAAATGCTGCAAAATACCAAGTATTCCATCACTAATTCAACATGTCTAGAACATCAAGAGGTGCACAGAACATTATAGGCTTTAAGAGCGAGGAAAAAAAAATGCAAACAAAAATAATTACACCCTCATCTCTCAAAACAAGTAGTACACTTCCATTCCTTAGCAATGAATTTAGCTATCCATTAAATTTTAAGGATCTAAAATGAATTGATTTGAGACGGAATATGAAGATCATATTCGTTCAGACTCCTTAAGTTTAAAAAACTTTTGAGTAAGACATTTAGTTCTACAAAATACAACAAGTTTTGACATGAATAAGACACTTAGTTCTAAATGTTTGTGCTTGTTAAACTTTTACCTCCCCATCTAATACATGTGGTCATGCACTAATGCATTAATGGTATCCATTAGTCAATGACCTTTACGGTTGTTTTTTCTCTAATTTGCCTATTAATGTCAACTTCTTTGTCACATCATCATTTTTTAATTTTCTGTTGCTTTAATAAGAGATCTAGCACCAAATCTTACATATTAAGTACGATGATTACATGTTAAGTCATAAATCTTGCACTAAGAAAGTATGTATCACCAGTTAATGTCAGAGTTTGGATGTGATTGATACCTTTCAAGACTCCAATCAACTAGTGGTTTCATGATCTTTAAAAAAGATCATAATACATTAGAACACCAATCTCATCAAAAGTAGGTGAAATACTGAAAATTTGTCTCTCTCTTTTTGATTAGAAAGAAACCCTAACCCAGTGATCAGAAAGAAACCCTAACCCAGTGATCAGAAGGCCATCATACTGAAAATCTTGCACTAAGAAAGTATATATACACTACATATTCTTAGGCATTGTTTAGTATTAATTTTTTAAAAAGTCAACTAATTTAAAAAGTGATCAGAAGGCCATCATACTGAAAATCTTGCACTAAGAAAGTATATATACGCTACATATTCTTAGGCATTGTTTAGTATTAATTTTTTAAAAAGTCAACTAATTTAAAAAGTGATCAGAAGGCCATCACATAATAATTCAAAGCGTTGATCTCACTATCTCACACCATTGATCTCACTTTCACAGAATTCACTAGAAGGACATCACACAATATATCCTTAAAAAAAACATCACTATATCCCACCATCAAGCCTCCTCTCTCTCCCTCACGACTTTCATCTCAGATGATCCCCATCCCCTCACACCCATCCCTCTCTCTTCCACTCTTTTGGCTCTTCACGTGTGACATCTAACAGCTTCTCTAGTGACTCGGCTGCTCTCTTGAAAGCCTTGAGCAGATCACATAATAGCCACATTAATTGCATAAAAACTGTGAAACAAATATATTTAAACAAAAAAAATAGCATGTTGCCAAAGGAATGGCCAATTTGAATAGCCTCAGCTTCAATTTCTCCCAAATTTCAAATACAATTGATTAGTGATATTGTTAAAGAAAACTAGGATATAGTAGAGGCAGGAATTAAAGGTTACAAACCAATAAAGTTGGTATTGCAGAGCAAAAGAGCCAAGTTGCAAAAATTGCTACCTGTAAAAATAAGCAAACTCACTGAGTCTTCAAGTATTCATTTTCTTAAATTAAACACACACATAGAGGGAGAGAGAGAGAGAGAGAGAGAGATAGAGAGTACTGCGCAAGCGATGACATTGAGGACTAGGATGTGATGTTGAGTGAGGTTTGAGTGAATTGAAGGGGACAGAGATTTGACGGTGGAAGTGAAATGAGAGGGAATGGAGGGGTAAGATGAAGCATGATTGGTGGATTGAAAAGAGAGAGAAGCCAAACGGCGTTCGGGTAAGCGGAGAATGAGAGAGCGGCGAGAGGGGAAGTTTGCGGCGAAGGTTTGATCGGAGTTTGATTTCATTGCAGGACTCGATGATAATACATATATAATACATATATATATATATATATAGAGAGAGAGAGAGAGAGAGAGAGAGCGCATACATGCGTAAACTGTCGTCGCCACACCACCGCTAGCTGTAAACTGTCGTTGCCACACCACCGCTTGCCGTCGTTGCTTGTTTGGGGATTTTGGGGAAAAAAGATGTTGTTTCAAAGATTTAGGGATTTTGGATCAAAATGATCGAGCGCCAAACAATGGGAGAAGCAGGACAAAATCTTTTTATTACTTTTTGTGATGGTATATTTTAACCATCACAAAAGATAAATAAAAATAGGTAAAACGACGCCGTTTTACTAATGGTTTTTTTGCGATGGACATTTGTCGTCGCAAATTGTCCACTATTTGCGACAGCAAATTTCTACTGTCTCAAAAAAATTATTTTTGCGACGGTACACAAAGGCGTCACGAATACTTCCGTATTTATCAACCTTTTTGTGTATGTTTATTAGCGATGGGATGACGGCAAAAGATCATTTTTTGCGACGGAAAATGCGCCGTCGCAAAAATTCCGTGTTTTATAAGACATTTTCTTGTAGTGCACCGTGATCCCCTAGGACCCCCAAAATTGCAGTGATGTGTTTAAATGAAGACACTAAATCGAAAAAAATATAGAAATCAAACACATATTCAGATGCAGAAAATATATTAATAGATATAATTTTTTAGAAATTAATTTCACTTATAAAAATATTATTTATTTATTTATTTTTATTATATAATTCTGTTTTCGATTTCTGTGCTCTTAAAATTTAGCACATTCTTTTTATCTCTCTAAGTGACCAAGCATGGAAGGCAGTCCCCATTAATTCAGTCCTATCGTCTTGTAGTAATAATCATTGAGCATATGCATGTGGATTTGGCTAGACTCTTCCATCACTTGTTCACATCGGTCCCTTCAAATGTGCCAAAATAGCTCTATCATAAAACCAAAATATCCAAGATATCTACCACTGCCACAACCACATGTGAATCATTTAAAACAAATCAACCCATGTAGAATCCTGTAATTCATAGTATAATCTGGGACAGTTCAATTGAAGGAAAAGTTTCCCAGATGAAACCTCTTATATTCCGACTTTGCAAGAAAAGTGTAGCAAAAAGGCTTGCATTCACAGAATCCTGTAATTCATAGCAAAAAGGCTTGCATTCACAAAATGAAACCTCTTATATTCCGACTTTACGAAGCAGAATCATAATACTAGCATGGTAGCTATATTACTATTAAGGCATGAAAACAAGATTTGAGGATAACATTATTTAGTGTGTTTGGTTTAAATTTTTTGAATTAAGTTTTTTGAAAATTGAGTTTTTTGTTTTTCGTATTTTTTGTTTTGTTTTTGGTGAACATTTTTAAAATTTTAAGCATTTTTTTTTCTTTTTTAGATGCATCTTACTTAAATGTGTCTAAAAAGTAAAATATTTGTGAAAAAATATTTTAAAAATTTAATAAATACACAAAAATATAGAAAATTTACTAAATTATTATTTTTTTTTGTATTTTTGATATTTAGTAAATTTTTTAAAGATTTTTTTCACAAAAATTATACTTTTTAAGTATATTTATGTTAGATGTGTCTAAAAATTAAAAAAATTATTTAAAATATTAAAAAAATTCAATAAAAACAAAAAAATACGAAAAATAAGAAAATAGAATTTTCTGAAAAATATTTTTAGAAAACTCAAACCAAGCAAAGTGATTAAGATTATCAGCTGCAAAATAAAAACTAAGAAATGATTCAGAGATGTTTTTTAGCTACAATTGTTACCGTCAACAAATATATATATAATCTCATAGGTTTTTCATGAATCATGAATGACAAAATGGGTAGTCGTTTTTAAGTAAGAATGATGTGTCGCCATCAACATTCTGGCAATAAATGTTTTCTAGAGGAGACATACCCTGTTTGTTTTGAGTCAAGAGCCTCTCCTTGCAAGCTTGTGCTTGCATCCGTCTTTGCAGGCCTTCGGGTCTACTTTTAGACCTAATTTTGATAATCCGAACCGTTGATATTTTATGATTTATTCAGTATATCATACCTGTAAAAAATCAAGTTGATCGGATATCAGAAAGTATGTGTTTGAAAAATTGAACTAAACACTATTTTTTAAAGAATTTAATAAACAGTTTTCCGAACATATACTTTCTGATATCCGATCAACTTGATTTTTTACAGGTATGATATACTGAATAAATCATAAAATATAAACGATTCGGATTATCAAAATTGGGCCTAAAAGTAGACCCGAAGACCTGCAAGGACGGGCGCAAGCACAGAAGCTGCAAGGAGAGGATCCTCACTCGTTTGTTTTTGCAGCACATATTCACGCGTGAGGCATGGGATTGGATTCAATTATTATGAAAACAAAAATGACCAAAAACGTTTTTCACTTTTATTTTATTTTATTTTTGTCGAAGTTAAGAGTAATTCAAATCTATTTGAGTTTAAGCCCCAAAAAATAAAATAAAATAAAATAAAATAATAATAATTGAAACCTTTTAAAATTTTACATTAAAATTTTTAAGGTAAATTACACCTACTTTTCCCAAAATTTATAGAAAATATAGTAAATATCATAAGTTTGACATAATTATATGGGCAAATTACAGTAATGGTCCCTATAGTTTATCCGTGGTTTCATTTTGGTCCCTATACTTCTAATTGCATCAACTTTGCCCCTACAGTTTGGTTTTTGGCTCTATATGGTCCAATAGTTAACTGCCGTTGACTTTTTAGACGGAAATCCATGCGTGCCTTGCGCACACTGGATGAAACCATTCAATTTGTAAATAAAACCACGAGGGAAGGTCTTTTCTCTTAATCTCTCTCTCTCTCAACCTTATCATCATTAACTTCAGCCAAGCTCGGCGCCGGCATGTTCTCCATGGGAGCAAAGAAAAAAATCCCAACCAACCTTTTTGGATTTCGACGGCAATAGTGGAGGAGGCGGCGGAGCCCGATCAGTCTGCGGCAGAGACGACGGCGCTCGTAAACCCTCATCTTCGACATTTTGATCAGAAGCACCACCCATACTCCCACCCACACCTTCGCTGCCGTCGAAGCTTCGAGAGCTCCGGTGTTTCAAGCTGTGACTTTCATTCTAGATTTCCTTTTCGTTCTCTTCCTCAATTATCAAATTAGAGCGCTTCAAATTGGACTTGTGAACAAAAATTTCAAGCATAATGGCAGCGCATTGGAGAGGAGAGGGGGGATAGTTAGGGAGAGAAAGAGGGGGGGCGGAAGGCTTCGTAGTGAGATTGGGTGATGCAGGAAAGCAGGGCTGTGGAGGCGGCGCCGGCGGAGGAAGAGAAGATGTGGAGGTGTCGGACCTCGCCGACAGCGTAATCACTAAGGGCGGCGCCAGTGTTCTTGAGGAAGATGATGTAGGTGGAATGTGCCGCCACGAAAGCATTCCGTGCCGTTACGGCGTCTTTCATAAATTGGTTTCGATTCTTGCATCGATTAACTATCTCTTCATTCTCGATCTTTGATTGCGTACATGCCATTGAGGCTCATTGATCACACAATGTGAATCGATTTTTGGGGAATTCAGGGTTTGATTATGAACAAATTGAAGAATTTGAAGAAACAAAGTGAGAATTCGGATTTGAATTAGCTTTTGAGAATGCTCTTTTGCTATGTCTTGCTTCACTTTGCGGAAAGAAGAAAAGGCAGAGAGAAGAGTAGGTGTTAATTTTTGCTGAGTTTTTTGTGAGTCACGGTGTCGTTTTAAGTTGTCAAAGGGTAACATGTCGTCGTTTTATATTTATTAGGATTTAATTGGTGAAGCGGTTATTAGCTGGCTTGTGAAAAAGGAAATAATATTAATGATATAATGACGTTATTTTGGATCAATGATGTGTGTAGAGGGTCAAAAATTAAACCCAAACTAAGTATGAGTCTAAGCACTGAGGTCGCCCCAAAGAGGTGAACATGAATGGAAAAGAAGCATAGGCTAAAGCCCAAGGGAAGTGGGCCAATAGTGGGCCGAAGTAGGTCTAACCCATCAGGGCTCCAAATGGACTCCATGAAGAAAAATACCCAAGTCAAGTTGTAGAGGCAACACGTGTAGCGGTGAAGTTGCGGAGGGAACATGTGTAGCGGGAAGTTGCTGAGGCACTTTGTCTCAGCGCCGCCATTCTAAGTATCTTCAGTATCGCTGCTATTCCAAGTAATGTCGGTACCACAACCATCTGGAGTTGCTGAGAAGAGGAGAAAACCGAAGCAACTAAGTTGCAGAGGCGATACTTGCAGTGCCCAAGTTGTAGAGGCATTTTGTTAGTGCCGCCATCTCTAATATCTTCAGTCCTACCACCTGAACTTGCCGCGAGAAATGACTGTCACAGTAACTAAGTTGTAGAGGGGATACTCTGCCAAGGTGATAGCAGCCTTTGAGAGAGCCTTCCCTCTGCAACTAGAGGCTAATGCCTGGCGCTGATAGCAGTCCCCAAGGCATTACTAGCCCAGGGTTGATAGCAGGCCCTCCCCTCTGTCCCAAAGTTTATATAACTTGGCGCTGATAGCAGGCCCCAAGACTTACTGGTTGGAGTTGATAGCAGGCCCATAGATACCAGTTTATCGTGGTGATCCCGCGAAGATAGGAGGAGGGTATCCCGAACATAAGGGACTCTCTTTCCATTACCTAGGTCATAGACCTACCTTAGTCGCACAGGTAGGACTAAGGAAGCCCCCTTGGGCTTGGTACTAAGGCACAGCATGGCTGGTAGCAGGCTTGGCTGTGGCCTTCGCCCTGGGAAGTTGGGGAGTTTGTGGTTAGGTGGCTAAGGGTGGAGGCTTCGCTGAGGTGAACACAAATGTAGTCGATAGCAGATTAATGGAGTCCTGAGAATGCATGTCCTGGCCAAATAGAACTGAGAAGGCAAGCGCAGCGGCAAGGTTCACCGCTGCAACTGCACTTGCTGAGGTTCAAGCTGAGAAGGCAAGTGCAGAGGCAAACACTCCCGCTACAATTGTCCTTGCTGAGGCTCAAAAGGGAGTTGCAGCGCCAAACACTATGTTGTAACTATACTTGCTGAGGCTCAAAGAGGTAGTTGCAGAGACAAACATGTAGTACACAGTATATGCAGAGGGACACGTGGCACTTTCAGCCTAGTGGCTCAAGGTAGGATATTCCATGTAATCCTTTGGGACACGTGTCTTCTCTTTATT